TCCCATCCCATCCCATCCCATCCCATCCCATCCCATTATATCCTCCCCATCTCATTCCATCCCATCCAATCCCATCCCGTTTCTACCCCAACTCATCCCATCTCTAAACAGAAAGCACTGTCTGCTGTGACTGGCAGCCTCTGTCAGGAACACCAGAAGTTAAAGTAGGGTGAAGTGGGTTCCAGCAAGGACTTCCAGTCATTGGTGAACTGCTCTGTGCCAAACATCTTTGTCTCTAAAGTCACCAGTGCTTATTTTTTCTGTGACCACCACTGTGGGCTCCAGTCTAGCCAGAATTTTGCAAATGGTGTGAATTGACTTTTTCTTTTTCTTTATTTTTGCTCGCCAGTATTTACCTGGTTGGGCAGACACAGGTTTAGAATAAATAATCGAAGCTACAGCTGAGGTGGTGGCAGTGAAAAGTGGGGGACGGGCTTCTAATGGGCATGCTTTTGATTCTGAAAGATGGTTGAGGGCGACGTCTATGTTTATGCCTGCTTGATTATCTGTGTGGCCTTCTTTCAGGTTCTTTTTTCTTCTACACACCTTAGCCTGGCCACCTTTCTGGAAAGTCTTCCCTAATCATATATATATATATATATATATATATATATATATATATATATATATATATATATATATATAGTTTTAACACATTTTTCCAGATAAAGTGACTTCATTCTCAGCCATCCTTCTGTGTAACTGAAGCATCATGGCCATCTGTGTGACTGCTGTCCTTCTTTAAACATATATTCTCATGCCTCTCTCGAGACTCGACTGCACTCTGTTTCTGTCTCTGTATGGTCACCTCCCTTATGTCCCTTCAGGGCTGGGGCCTGCCCCTGTTGCTCTGAGACCTGTTCCAGAGTTTCTCAGCCTCAGATGCAGTGTTCTTCCAGGCAATGCCCTCCACCACCTGTTAGAGAACACAGGTGTCCTTATCCTGGACAGTGCAGCATCTGCCCTGGGCCTGGCCTCGCTCTTCTGTGCCACCGGTCGGACTCTTTTGACATTCTCTTTGTCTTGTCCTGGCCAAGCTGTGCTTGGGCTGGGCTGAGATTACTTCCCGGGCTGGCCTACCAGTTATTTTCCCTTAGGAAATTATTTCCATGGTTAAGATCATGCATTTATTAAAGCAACACCCAAAGATCATGTTACCCTTCTGAAAGTAATAAGGACTAATATTTAGGATGAGAGGTCAACATTGTGTAACTGGTTGAGTACCTATAAGGGAATATATAATTATTTTAGAATTAAGAGACAAACTTGCTTTCCCATAGTTAGGAATGAGTTATTTTGGGCTAGATAATATACTGTTATTTTCATGAGGCATTCCTAGAGAATAACACAACCCAGAATTTCTGATAGAAAATTGAATTAATTTCCCAAAGGAATAAGGTGGCTTATTCACACATTCCCTTAGTTTAAAAACGTATGCCTAAGCAGTAAGAACCCTTTGTTTTCACTTTTATGTTTTAAATGTAGAATGTTTAATTGTAGTCAGAAGTAAAAGCATTGGTCACCTTCCTCTTCTTTCTTCCAGGTATAAGCCAAAAAGCAGGTATAAGCCTATTTTTAGACTCCCGTTGACCAGTGGGGCAGAAGTGACCACCCTGTCTGCAGTGAATGACTTTTATTCCCGTATCCTTCCTTCCAGTCTGTGGATGTGCCTTGCACTGAGCACTGCTTTCTGGAAAAGCCCCTTTTGGGCATCTGAGAAGTCCCAGGTGTCCTGCTGGGCACAAAGGACCGAGGAATGGTTCTCCTTGTGGAATGTGGGATCTTTTGTAGTAATTGAAAGTAGAGTAACCTTATCTTAATAGTAAGAAGCACCTCTAAGGAAGAACAGTCTGGGTTCTGACATGGCAGGGTGAGGTCATAGGACTTTTCTGTGTTTCCTGAGAGATGCACAGCCATCTAGTGAATGTTCTTAGTAAACTGTGACACCTGCTGTGGGCATCCTTGGAAAACTCAGCAGTTGCCATTTGACAGAACATGGTGTGGGTCCCCAACTTGTGCTGATGAGCGGCCACCCGGGGGCTGTGCTCTGTCCTTTCGTCTTTTCTCACACTGTGTCCTCCGGCTGCTGGTGGATGTCTCCACTGGGTCTTGTGCCATGCGCTGCTCCCCTCACTGCTGCCTTTTCGAGGAGCCCCAGCTGGTGGAGTTGCCCTGAGTATTTTCTCTGGAACTCCAGAAATTCTTTGCTAATTATGCATTTCTGAGTCGTGTGAGGTCCCCCTTTTTTTGGGGGGGGGGTAATAAAGTGGGCAGATCTGTGGGCCCATAGGTGAGACTGCTGAGAAGACCCCTTGACTGACCCCTGCAGACATCGTACTCACCGCTGGCCGGGACCGGACTGTGGAAGTTTTTGACCTCAATGTTGGCCACAGTGCTGCCGTGATAGCTGAAGTCCATTCACGGCCCGCCCATCAGATTTGTCAAAATAAAGTAAGTTTGTAGATAGCAGAATATTGTTTAAAGATCTGAGCTAAATGTGTTTAACAGTTATAAATATATTATGATGCAAATCTATAACTACTGTCAGATCCAATATTAGCTTCTTCTGATCATCAAACTATGTTAAACTTTCTTCTTTTGCTACAGACATCTTAAAGATTTATTTATTTATTATTTATTTATTTATTTATTTATTTATTTATTTATTTATTTATTTATATTTTTAAATTGTGTATGTGTGTGTGTGCCATTGTTCTTGGATGCCAGAGACATTGGATTGTCCTGGATCTGGAGTTAAAGGGGTGTATAGGCTGCCCAGTATGGGTGATTGGGACCAAACTCAGGTTCTCTAGAAGAGCAGTGTGTGGCCATATCTCTCGTCCCTGTAGATATCTTAGTAAGGTTGTGTGGGACTTCTTCTCTGTCTTTGATTAGTTGCAGATCCATGTAAGTATCTGTGACTAGCAATGCATTCTCACTTAAGCTGGGGTAGGTCTGGATGCGTATGTGATGGTGGGAATGAATGGCAGTCACGTCCATTGCAGGCTGTGACAGTCTCTGAATTCCAGATTCCCCTTGCACTACTGGATACAATTATCCTCTTTGACACACTGGATTTTAGAGATGTTCTCAGATGTATTGAAAGGTAGAGCTAATAGTTTAATGGACCCATCCTCTCTTAGATAGATTTCTATTGCTGTTATAAAATACCTTGATCAAAAGCAGCCTGGAGAGAAAAGCATTTATTTCAGCTTACAGTTTACAGTCACATCATGGAGGGAAGGCAGGGTAGGAGCTCAAGAGAGGAACCTGGAGGCAGACACTGATGCAGTGCTGCTTACTGGTCTGCTTTCCCTTGCTCAGCCCACTTCCTTATACAACATAGACAATCCTGTCTAGGGGTAGCACCACCCACTGTGGCTGGGCCTTCCCACACTAATCATTAATCAAGAAAATGCCCCACGGACTTGCCTGCAGGCCATCTGATGCAGGCATTTTTCAGCTGAGGTTCCTCTTCCCAGACAACTCTAGTTTGTGGCAAGTTGATAAAACAATAAAACAACCAACTAGGACAGTCCCAAAGTGACTCATTACCTAAAAGCCATCTAAGACTTACAAAAAAAGCTGACTTTAAAAAGATCCATGTATGTGTGTGATATACATGTACATGTTTGTGTGTGAGTGTGTACATGACCATGACACACATGTGGAGAGAATGAAAACTTTGAGTGGCAGTCCTTGCCTTCCGCCTTACGTGGCGCAGGGTCTCTCAGGTAGTCAAGCTTGCAGGGCAGGTGCCTTTACCCACTGACCCATCCCCCCAGCTCCTGTGCAGGTTTGTTTGCTTTTTTTTTTTAAAACTGAAGATGTGATTTTATTTTTGAGGCAGTCTCTTACTAAGTAGCTCAGGCTTGCCTGGAACTTGCAATCTTTCAGTGCTGGGGTTGGGATACATCCCCGTGAGTTACTGTCAAAAGACCCCAGAGACCCCCCCATAACCCAGGCTGTTGCCATTGCTTTTGGCTCCCACCATAGCTAGATGGTGACTCACTGCTGAAGATGCTATACACTGTGGCTGTAGGACATTGATAAATCGAGCTGGAACTGTTCTGGAAGCTGATTTCCCGCTGGCTATCAATCGTAGTAAGGTGCTCTGCAGGCCACCTCTCCAGCAGTGGACCCTGCATCTTACAATGGTCATCCCCTGGTAAGATGTCCTCCCTGTGCAACAGTAACATGGCTGCTATGGGAGTGACCGCCTGCTTCCTGGGATTCAGGCCTGGCCCTATAAACCTGGTCACAAAGGTCCATGGCTCAGAATGTCAGAGGCCCTGGCGGAAGGGGCGACTACTGAGGTTATTTTCTTAAATGGACACATTGTTGAACTGCCTCCTAAGTATTTACGTTTGTACCCATAGATTAATGGTCTGAACCTTGGTCAGAGAGGCTTCTTTTGGCAATGGGTTGCAGTCAGTGCAGATTCAAGGTTGGTCAAAGTGCTGAGAATAAGAGAGGGATGAGTGCTTAACCCTAAGTAGGATATCTACATCAGATCTTTCCCTTCCTGCCCAAAGACCCAGGGAACATTTTGGAAGAGAGAATAGAAAGAATGTAAGAGCTGAAGGATGGGAAGTTGTGCTGTGAAATGCTGTGTTCTAGACACGACAGGGTCACTGCTCATAGCACCCGTGGTTACCTGAACACTATTCCAGCATGGATGGGAGAGGCACATGTAAGGCTCTACCCAGGGCGGCTACTGGCAGTCAATAGATGCCTGAAGAGGGAAGATAATTTTTATGTGGAGTTATGGCTGCTGATAGGTTGCCCATGCTCCAAAGAATGGCCCCATAACAATGTACACAGGCAGCATTATTTAGACTTAGCGGGATGTGAAAAAGTAGTAGACATGAAGGTAGAGGGGAAAGTGTTGAGAGAGATCTGGAGGAAGTAGGAGAGAGGATTTGGGTTGGATGTGTGTACATGTATGAAAAGGGAATGAATACAAAACATTCTTAAAATGGATCTCTTTTCTTTAAAAGCTTCTAGTTCTTAGTTGAGACAAAAATAAGTGCTAGCTGACTTCACATAAACATTTTCAATAGTTCATCTCTTCTGTGAGATTAGATTTCATTGTAATATTGTGTTTAAAGTGGTCTTTTCTCTCTTTTTAAACATTGCATCAAATAGCCGTGGGGTGGGAAGGCAGTTACATGTCTCTGTGATGAACTCTTAATTCAGTACCCATTCCTAGTATCTTGGTTAAATTTGTGAGTGTTTATATCATCTCCTCCACCTTAACATTGGTGTGTATGAGTGTAAAAATGTATTCATGCATGTTTGTGAATATGTGCATGTTTGTACATTGCTTGTTAACTTAAAATATCTCTAAGTAGGTACTCTGATTGCTATTCTCCCTGTATACATAGGTACAAAGCAAGGTCCTTGTGCCTGAGGAAGTCCTACTCCCACCAGAAGAATGTGTAACCACAGACTCAATCTCCATCTGATTGTACATGTGGACAAAGGGTAGAGAGAGTAGGGTGGTACCAGGAGCATGTTCATAGGAACAGAGAGCAGGAAGTGGAGATTGGTTGCTGTGGTAGTTTGAATGTAATCGGCCCCCCTAAGCTCACAGGGAATGGTGCTATTAGGAGGTGTGGCCTTGTGGGAACTGTGTTAATGTGGGAGTGGGCTTTGAGGTCTCCTTTGCTCAGGCTTCACTCAGTGTGACACTCAGACCACTTCCTGTAGCCTGTGGGTCAAGATGTGGGACTCTCAGCTCCTTCTCTAGCTCCATGTCTGCCTGCACGCCACCATGTCCTGCCATGGCAATAATGGACTAACCATCTGAAAATGTAAGCTACCCTCAATTAAATGTTTTTCCTTCATAAGAGTTAACCATGGTCATGGTGTCTCTTCACAGCAATAGAAACCCTAACTAAGACAGAAGTTGGTACCAGGGACTGAGGTATTGCTGTCATGGGCCTGACCATGCTTTTGTTTGAAGGAATATGGACCATGAGACTGTGGACTAGAAAATCAGTTGAATGCTCTAAGTGTGCTGCTTAATGGGCCAGACTAGTAGGAGAATGGAAGACAGTGGTACTAAGTGTGATTTGATGAACTCTGAGGGCCTGGCTCAAGAGGTTTCAGAGGGAAAGAATATTAATATGTGGCCCAGAGATCATTGTGATATTTTGGTGAAAATGTGGCTGCTTTTGGCCCTTGACCAAAGAATCTGCCTGTAGCCATAGGTTTTTTTCATGTCCTGCCCAGCCCTGTGGTCTCTCAGCCACTTATAAAATAATCATTTAGAGACTTAATATTAATTATCAACTGTATGGCTTATAGCAGGCTTCTTGCTAGCTAGCTCTTATAACTTAACCCATTTCTATTAATCTATAAGTTGCTACTTGGCTATGGCATTACCAGTCTGCTGGCATCTTGCTGCTCCTTTGGTGACAGCTAGCATCTCTCTTAACCTCTCCCTTCTTCTGTCCATATATCTGCTTGGATTTCCTGCCTGCTTCTAAGCTGCCTTGCCATAGGCCAATGCAGCTTATTTATCAACTAATCAGAGCAACACATATTTACAGCACACAGAAAGACATCCCACAGTATCTGCCTGAGACTAAAGTGAAGAGGTTTGGATTATTTCTAATTCCATTGGCAGAGGAAATCTCAAAACAGTCTAGCATAGGCTCTGTCATGTGGTTACTAGTGCTCATACTTATAAAGAGTTATAACAAAAAGGAGCAAGCTGAACAAGGAAAAATATAATATATACATTTTGAAGAGGAGAACCAGGAAGTAGAAGGGAGCTAAGTCCTATGTTCAAGGAGGTGAACAGATTAAGAAATGGAATAAAGGGGGTGGTGACCTCAGGGCAAGATATTACCCAGCTAAATTTCCAACTTGTGAAAAGGAATGAAAGAAAAGCTTAGAGCCTGGTGTGGTAGGACACACCTTTAATCTCAGTCCTGGGAAAGCAGAGGCTGGAAGATCTCTGAGTTTGAGGCCAGCCTTGTCTACGGATCCAGTTTCAGGACAGCTAAGCTTAGGCAGTGAAGGAAACCATCAAAAGCAGAAATTTGGTGAAGATGTAATTGAAGGAGGGGGCTGTGTTCTAGCCCCAGTAAGCAGCAGAACTTGGCAGCTTTGGCCATGTGCTTCTGGAGTTAAGGATAGAAGTAAGGGGCTATGGAATTTGCCTTCATTTCTAAGGAAAGCTGCTAAGGCCTGGCATGTGTCAGGATTGTCCCTGAATGGAGGCCTGGAGAGGCCAATGCTGGAAGCTGTGAAATTGAAGCCTGGAATGCCTTGGAGAACCCAAGATGTTAGAGATGCTAGAGTTGTGGGATACTTGCTGAGGAAAGCAGCTAATAGGGAGTGGAACCAGCCCAAGGGAAAGAAGTGTGCTGCAGTCAACAAAGCTGGACAGAGTTGGAGATCTGAAGAGCTCTTTGACATCAGACATGGAGATGCAGAGTTTGAAGTTTGCCCAGCTGGTTTTCAGTCTTGCTTTGGTCCAGCATTTCCTCACTATGCTCCTTTCCTTATGTTTTGGAATGGTAATGTGTAGCTCGGGCCATTATATGTTGGAAGTATGTGATCTGCTTTTTTATTTTGATTTTGTAGGGGATTACAGTTAAGAGATTGCATGAATCTCAGAAGAGACTTTGAACTTTTGGCTTCAAAACATTGTTGAGACTGTGATAGACTATGGGGACTTTTGAAGTTGGACTAAATGCATTTTGCATTATGATATTGTTACAGGCTTGTAGAGGTCAGGGAGTGGAATGTAGTAGTTTGAATGTAATTGGCCACCATAAGTTCACAGGGAGTGGCACTGTTAGGTGTGGCCATGTGGAGTAGGTATGGCTTTGTTAGAGGAAGTGTGTCCCTGTGGGGGTGGGCTTTGAGGTCTCCTTTGCTCAAGTGTCAAGTCAACACTCAGTGTAACACTCAGGCCACCTCCTGTTGCATGTAGGTCAAGATGTAGGACTCTTTGCTCCTTCTCCAGCACCATATCTGCCTGCACACCATCATGTCCTGCCATGATGATAATGGACTAAACATCTGAAAATGTAAGTCACCCCAATTAAATGTTTTTCCTTACATAGAAAAATAGAAATGGATTAATTTAAGGTGAAAGAGCTAGCTAGTAAGAAGCCTGCCATAGGCCATGCAGTTTGTAATTAATATTAAACCTCTGAACGATGATTTTATAAGCACTGAAGGACTGCAGGTGAGAGAGATTTGTCCTGACCACAGGCCAGGCGGGACACGGGAAATCTTACAGCTTTGTACTGTGGTCATGGTGTCTCTTCACAGCAATAGAAACCCCGACTGAGACAGTTGTCATGCTCTGTGATACTGTGACAAAGCAAATGGAGGGATGGATAGTAGATACTGACTGGGACAGAAACATCCCCTGGGTTGGTGGGTCCTGATCAAGACCTTGAGATTTACTCCGGGAATAGCTGTAGCCATTGCAGAGTTGGAGTATGAGCAAGGTATACACCCAGGCATTGTGTGAACACGCGGTTTGCACCCGTTGTGGATTTCAGGACCATCTGTCGGAGCCCAGTGCAGGCATTAGATGCCAGTGGCAAGGACGTTGGAGGCGCTAACGAAGGGGAGAGCACAGCGACTGAACTGCGCATCTCTCTCTCTCTGGGGTGGAGTCTGGACTCGCTGTTTGCACAGCGACTGAACTGTGCATCTCTCTCTCTGGGGTGGAGTCTGGACTACCTGTTTGCACAGCGACTGAACTGTGCATCTCTCTCTCTGGGGTGGAGTCTGGACTCACTGCACAGCGAGCTGTCCCTTTGCGCAGAACAGAGTTGTCATTGCCGAGTAGGACAGTGTGGGATTACTGGGCCTTGCTCGGGGCTGCACCTACTGCACATGGTTGTCTCCTGGCCACTGCTTGCTCTCTGCTCTCTGCTCTCTGTGTCAGGAAGGAACAGAGGTGCAGGGGTGCTCACACACGCCGTGATGCCCGTGCTCCTGCTGACTGCTTTCATGCTGTGCTGTGATATGAGCAGTCCTGCTTCTGACTTCCCTCTGCCCACAATGACTAGTGCTTTTCACCCTGGCAGAAGCAGCTCATTCCTCCACCAACAGTGGAACCCAGTGTTTCATTTCCCACACAGAATTAGGATCATTTTGATCTCCTGCTGTGCCAACTGGCCTGGCTCTCTTCCCTTGGTAGTGCCACAGGCCCATCCTCCCCACCACGACCCCCAAGCCTGCTTCCTCCAAGCTAAGAGAGTCCAGCAGGAACTAAGTCGGCCCTTCCTCAAGTCCCCCAGGCCACACTCAGTCTGGGTGTACCTGGCTGCCTGGTGCTTACCCTTCCTTTAGCAGCCAAGCACTTTATGTAGCCCCTCCCCCGTGGCCCTGCTCACAGGTCTGCCATGGTTCTTGTGACGGGGCTGAGATAGGGACAGCAGACTATGGGTGGTGCTCGGGTTAGGGGAAACTGTCAGCAACTCCTGTGCTCTGCGGGCCAAGCCGGTGCTGGCCCAGGCAGGCATAGACTCCCGATGCAGTGACATGTCTGTGGAGGGTTGTCTTGATTGTTGATGGGTATGGGAGGGCCCAGCTCGCTGTGGGTAGTACCCTTCACCAGGCGTGTGGTCCTGGACTGTGTAAGCAAGCTGGCTAAGCATGAGATGGCCTGCAGTCCATCCAGAAATGTTCTGCCATGGTTTCTACTGATTTTCTTGGCTGAGTGAGTGAGTCCTCTGGTCAAAGGTAAGGCTGTGTGTAATAACAACAAGCAGGCCTGCCTTCAGGCTCACACATGAGTCCCTCCCCTGACTTCTTTCAGCAATGGACTGTGATCTGGAAATGTAAGCCAAATAAATCTTTCCTTCTCCTAAGTTGCTATTGTCAGTGTTTTATCCATAGCAACATTAAGGAAACTAGAACACCTGTTTAGTTTTTTAAATAAAGAAGAACGATCTGGTATGATTATTTTCAATCTAAAAATAAATAATTTAATGATTTAATATTTAATAACTTTTTAACGTTTAACCATTTAATGATACAAAGCAATAGGAAAGTCTGGCCATCAACCCGGTTCAGAGGCATTCTTGTTAATACAGAAGAACAGTGAAGTAAACCCTGCCTGTCCTGTCCAGCTTAACCACTGGATGCCATTCTCACAGCTCTGCTCAAGGTGGTGCATAGGAACACTCAAAGCCTCGCTGGCACTGACCGGAGTGGCCACATTGGGTCCTAAGCCTCACAGGGTGAGAAGTGGCCTACTTCATTCTTACTGAACTGTGATGTTTGGGTCAAGTATGACCTCAGTGCTTCTGTGCCTGAACTGGAAGGACAGCACAGACCACAGCACCCACATGGTTGTGGTGAGCCTGACTGCTCTGATGTGTTCTGTGTCAGTGTACAAAAATGTAAGAGGCTTCTTCAGAAAACAAGCCACCAGACATGGTGCAGGCCTCTGTGACCTCATGCTCGGCCTCACATCCCATCCCATCCCCCTCCTATGCTTATTTTCGGGAAGTTAAACTAGGTACTTCCCCATTTAAAACAAAAAACAAAAAGCAGCACCATTTTCCTAACGTAACACCTCCCATCTAAGAGCACAGCACATTGGCTCTCAAAGGATTGTCAGTCCACAAGGTCACATGCGTAGGCACCTGAGCACACTGCAGACGCCGCATGGAGGCCATGCAGTAACACTTCAAGCCTCAGATTTGATGGGAAGACTCCTAAGAGAAAGAAATGCCTTGAATCATCACCCTGGAAGGGAACAAGCCAGGCCTGCTTCCTCACACCTTCACTGGCTTGCAGACCTGCCCTGTATACTGGAGCAGAGTCACCAAATCTCAGAACCACTTTGATGCTGATGCAGACACAATGCTATTTTAGAGAGCCGGCTGCTGTCTCAATGTGCTCGGGAGGGAGCGTTGTCTCTAGGTCTTATCTATTGTCTAATGACACACTGAATCAGGAGTCTACTGCCTGCCTGGGCCAGCACTGGCTTTGCCTGTGCATCAGCAACAGTCTGTTGTCAGGTTTTGCCAACCTGTGTACCACCCATAGTCTGCTGTCTCTGTTCTGGGCGATTCTCCAGTTGAGACTTTTCTTACCGATAACTCAGGGTTGACCTAACTTGAGCTTCACGGCTCTGAGGCAGAGAACAGATCACCATGTATCAGATTTCCTGACTATAAATGGGGACTGAATAGTTTGTTTGCTAAAAGGATGAAGAGCTAAAGAAGTAAGTGTGTAGCATGCTGTCTGGCACAGTTAATCCTTAGAGTGTGGCTTGTTATCTCTGAACTTAATGTGATCCTTTATTTCCTGCTTGTAAATGAAAAATGACTTCTAGGTCCATCTTATATCGAGTTTGTCGTAATATTTCAAGTAATCTTGACATAGCAAGAGAATGGAATTCTTATGAATTATAGTGCATTTAAGGAATATTTTGAGCCAAATAGCTCCTCTGATGGTGTCCAGTTGTTTTACACAGCCATTTTTCTTCTGGGGATCATCAGAGTCATCAAGATGTCAAGGCCTAGACTTGCAGAGCCCTTACTTCCAGTGACATGTGGGGTCCTGAGGTACATAGGATCTCATGTGTTTCATCACCAAGGCACCCATTCAGTGTATCTTAGAGTTCCATAACTGGCAAATAACTCTTAAGTGCTCATTAGGGAGTGTGTTTTATTCCAGATAATGTGTTGAATAAAGAGTATGATCAATACTGAAAAAGAAATGCTGGTGTGTAATCATCTTAGTCTTTTTTTATCTATTGCTGTTTTCTAGTTCTGTGGCTCTCAATGGCATTGAATGTGGAGTAAACAGACATTAATTATTAAGATTATAGTGTATTTGGCTAGTTATCATGCTAACTGATGTTGCTCAACCTGAGGTTGTGTTCTGAGAATTGCATGGTCAGTCACAGAGTGCCCTTACATAGGCTGAGATGCCCCGACATCACCAGGCCGCAGTATTCAGAGGCCCTGTTGCAGTCTGTTATCTACATAGGTCGCTGCGCTGTTCATGGCTGCATGGAGGTTTAGCATCCCACTCGAAAGCTATAAATTTAAGAGAGATTATGTTGACTTCTGGCTTTAGGTTCCAGTATTATTAGGTGTTATTAGCCTTTACAAGTTCATCTTGGGGTCTGTTAGATGGCTAAGCAGGTAGAGGCACTTGAGGTTAAGCCTGAGGGTGATGTGAGTTTGATCCCCAGGCCCCACATGGTGAAAAGAGAGAACCAACTCCTGCAGATTGTCAGAGGTCTGTCTATACATTCACTATTAAATAAGTAAAATGTTTCTAAGAGCTGTTGTTGATTTTTTATTTTCCATATCTGATGACAGGGATCATCATTTACGACCCAGCAGTCTCTGGCGTACAATCTTTTCCTGACCACAGCTGTTGGTGATGGGGTTCGACTGTGGGACCTGAGGACTCTGAGGTAAGGCCAGCCTGCATCAAAGCACTGCCCCAAGGGGAACTGGAGCTGAGCTGGGAATACAGCCTGATCCTGGCTGCAAATAACACAAGGCTATGACTAGTCTAGGTATGCTCTGGAGAAGACTGACTTGTACACAGAATCAATGCAGTCACTTGGAGATGGTAAAACCACACATAGGTGCTACTCTGTTCTCCGAGGGCTAATCACACATGGCTCCTGAGAGTCAGAGATGTGAGAAATGGCGTGCACACTATAGCACAGCTACCTCAGCTATGTTTTTTTTTCTTTTCCTGTCACACCTGTCTTGCTCACACTGGACACTAGCACTGAGCTCACACTGCTCCCTTGGAGTAGCACTGATGGAACTTTACGTTAGGCTGCTCGATCTCCCTCTTGTGAAGGCGTTTCTATTTAAGCACTAACCTTTATCTTCTGATAATCACAATACTACAAGCCATCACTGTACAGTGCATATATAATGTCATAAAATTGAGAAGTGTTAACATGTTTGTAGTACAGAGATGTTCACAAGGAAACCACTAGCAGTGTGCTTGATTTGTTCTTTGTCAGTAGAAGAAATAGAAAAGCCTCACCCTACAACATGGTGTAAGTGAGATCTTGCCTACTATTCAGGGACTCTGCTCAGTCTTGACATGCCCCAGGGCACCCACTAGGTGTTGGCCATGCTTGTCGATGCCTTTCTAAGGGAGACCCTGGCTGTTTCTCAAAGGTATTGAAGGTTTCCTCTTAATAAATTGCATAAATCATTGACAAGTTTTATATAGCACTTGATAAGGGGTTGTGAAACTCAACCCTCTTACTAGATTGCTACACCTCCCCACAAGCCATGAGTTGTTTCTTTTCATAATTTATGATATTAGAAGATTTGATTGAAAAATTTATAATTATCAGTAGAAATTGCTTATTTAATATTTTTCATATATAAAGGTCCATCTGCTCTTAGTTTTGTTATCTTTGGGAATTTATGATTTTGAAAAGAGTTTAAATTATTTTAAAGGTCTACTTAATTACCTACCATTTAATAATTCTCAAGATGAAGTTTTTTTCAAGGATGTAGTTCAGTGGTAAAGTGTTTGACTAGCATGTCAAAAAAGCCATGGGTTTAATTCTCAACACCACACACAGACATCAAAGAAAGTGTTTTTTTTTAAGGTATTAACTTGTTCATTTTGTGGAGAAAACATGGTGATGTCTTCTAATTTGTCTCAGGATGTAACAGCCATTTTCTGCCCAGCGTTTCTTTCTATCCTTGCAGGTGTGTGCGCCGCTTCGAAGGGCATCCCAGCCGCTGTTACCCTTGCGGAGTTGCTTTTAGCCCTTGTGGAAGACTCATGGGCTGTGGTGCAGAGGACAGACATGTATGTATGTGTGCTCTCTCTAAGGGCAGGGTTCTTAGGTGGTGTTATCAAACAGACCGTCAGCGCCATTGAACACTGGGGTGAAAATCCGTTTCAAGCCTGACAGTGTTTTAAGAGACTTACCCAGCATGCGAACTCCACAACAGTAAGCTGTGACCACGAGAAGCTCATGTTTACTTAATCACAACACACACTTATCTTTTGTCACTCATTTCTTCATCTATTAGTTATCAGGGACACTAGGTACAAACTCCACTAACGACTGTGATGTGTGGTGCAGGAGCGACAAGCTGATGACATTAGTCGGGATCGTGCAGCTCATGTGTAATTAGGTGTCCCTTATCTCCATGGGGTTTCTTAGAGAACTGCATGCTTCTCCCAGTGCAGTCGCCACCCTGCGGTTTCTTAGAGAACTGCATGCTTCTCTCAGTGCAGTCGCCACCCTGCGGTTGCTTGGAGAACTGCATGCTTCTCTCAGTGCAGTCGCCACCCTGCGGTTGCTTGGAGAACTGCATGCTTCCTCCAAGCAGTTGCCACCCTCCCTTGACTTGTTTCCTCCATGCCAGATCCGCACCCCGCAGATGTGGAGCACAGAGGTCTTCAAGTGTCCCAGGGCTGTGTAACACTACCACATAGCTGGAGGCTAAGCCCGCAGAGGAGGCCAGCTCCCTGGAGAGGTCTTGGTGCTCCTTGGCTATAAACTGTGCTGGCCCCTTCTTCCTCCACGGTGTGCCTCAATTCCCTGTCATCTGAAAGGTCATTTAATGAATTGCATGCTTGTCTCCTATAAAGTGTCCTCATAAAAATCCATTTTGGGAGTCACATGAGACATAAACATGGTGGTGCCCAAGCAAGAGCCTGGCTCTGAGTGATGGATGCTTATGTGGCGCTGGTGGGGGATAGGGAAGTGCCCCAGCACTCCTTGTTCCACCCCAGACCCACAAATAATCTCTGAAAGGAGCTCAGGCTTCCATGGGAGAAGACAAGACCCCATGAGTAACAAGCAGGGCATCAAGATGGCAAGATGCATGCACATTCAGCAATTCCTTCTCCAGGAGGTACAAAATTAAGAAGACCGATGGACAACAAAATCCTAGGAGAAAGTTGAATAGCTTCAAAAAGACAAGACTTTTAATATGCATGACACTTTATTCATTGGAACAACTGCTGGCTTTTCTGGAATACTGTGGAACTTTATTTTCAGAAACAATTGCAAGGTTTAATACGAAGCTTTGAAGACTTATACATCATTGACCACACTTCTGATTTTGTCTACCATTATTTCTTGCACGCTCTTTGTAACTGACACTTTGCATTCAGGTAACATAAGCAAAGAAAAGTGTGTTCTGAGAAGTTCACTGGTTGGCTTCATATGTGGTATTATATATCACAGTGCTTTGACTTTTTACAAAAATGGATGTTTGGCATTTAAAGTATCGTACTGCTGCACTGCCACCAAAAGAGGAGGTACAGTGCTTTGGTTGTTCCTTTGTCAAACCGGAATGAAAGCGATAGCCATTGTCTACTTTTTTAGACCTGTGGGTCATGAGCCCTTTGGGGGTCTGTAAGATGAATTGCTAAACAGTTTTATTAATAAAGAACCCAGAGCCAGATATTGGGGTGAAAACCAAGAGATCAGAGGAATAAGACAAGCCACAGCCAACCTCACCTCACTAACTCCTCAGCTTCCAAAGAGACCTACTTCCTGTATACCCATGCCTATATGTGTTTCTGTCCCTGCATCTCATTTCCTCTCTCTGCCTAGCTACATCACTTCCTGTTTGTCTGTACAGACCTCCAGACCTCTATGGTTAGTGCTGGATTAAAGGCATGTGCTACTGCACCTGGCTTTGTTCCCAGTGTGGCCTTGAACTCATAGAGATCCAGATGGATCTCTGCCTTCCAAATGCTAGGATTAAAGGCATGTGCTACCATTGCCTGACTTCTATGTTTAATATAGTGGCTGGCTTTTTCCTCTGATCCTCGGATAAGCTTTATTAGGGTGCACAATATATTGGGGGACATAGTATATCACCATACTTCCCTTTTTTGCCTAAAATAAAAAATAAAAATAACTAATATAAGAAAAACTATATACAATAAGTATGATAACTATATACAATATATACAAGCAATAAATACATCAACAATGTCTGGTCTATTTGAATTTGACAAATTCAGAGAAAATATTCCATTATCTATCCTATCTTTGTGAATCCAAAGGATTTGATCTAATTTACCTTCCATCCTAATTTGCATAATCAAACTATCTTTTGATGTCTTTCAAACTTATACACTTTATGCCTCTTTAGCGAGTTTCTTTTCTGAATTTGTTAACAAGGAAAACTATACCTATCTAATCTTTAACTCCCTCAGAGACCCAAGAAGGAAGTAATATTTACTAAGAAAACAGGAAGTGCAAACAAGCGACTTCCAAAAAATGTGAGAAGTGGTAGAAACAGCTGGCTGCCTGGACGGTCACCTGAGGTTTCTCTGCAATGTTGGGGGCATCTTCTTCAGCCTACAGGCTTAGTGTATCTAACAGACTCATTTGTGAAGCAGGATTTTCTAAAGAGCCTTCCATTATGGACTGTAACCCTAAGCTGAAATAAACTTTCTCCCCTTAAGTTGCTTTTGGTTATGGTATTTTATCACACCAGCAGAGAAGTGACTAATAATGTAGGAAATGCAATAATTCTGGTAGAGATACTTTCCAGTCAATGGCAGAAAACCACAAATTATTCATATCCTGAGTTGAATGTACCCAGTTTTCTCAGGCTCATGGAAGGGGCAATGTGACATCTTCTCCTTTAACAGGGGACTTTAAAGTAGAGTTGGTAAGCACAGGCCGTGTACCTTCCAACGTATCAGTCATCAGACATGAATCCTTGCTTCAGACTGCTGAGCGGGAGTCATGGAGGTGAGTGCCCTTCGGGGTAAGATGTACTTTGTGGCCCAGTTCTGTGGCTTGGCTGGCATTGTGTTGGCTTGTCAGCTGTCACCGTGTCCTGGGTCAGCCACAGACCACACTTGAGCCAGAGTTTGGAGATGGTCACCAGTCCTGCCAGCCTGGAACACCTGCTTGTCTTGTCTCCTAGGCGTACGTGTATGAAATGGGCTCGAGCAGCTTCCTGTATCGTCTTGCAGGGCATACAGATACGGTTACTGAAGTGGCCTTCAACCCAGCAGCTCCGCAGGTAGAGCTTCCCAGTGTGAGCAGGGCCTCCCCTGTTCATACCGTCTTACATCACATTTAGAAGGTGGTCAGATTTTATTTTGTTGAAGTCTTATGGTATTTAAGAGTGCATACAGCTAGGCCCAGTACCTGTAATCCCAGAGATGGATGCAAGAGGACCATCCTGAGCTACATATCCATTTCAAGGTCAGCCTAGGCTATATGAGACCCTGTCTCAAAAAAAAAAAAAAGAAATTTAAATTAAGGAAAAGATTATATGGTGGTTTTGAGTATCAGGAGAGGAAATTAGGTAGTAAACTTATTGAGAGAAAGAGAAATCTAGAATTTTAAAATTATTTATCATTCAGTATATTTGCTCTTACTACAATATAGAGAGCCACATGTACCCTTAGACAGATACAGTTCTGTGTAAGCCAAATGCAGACACCGTAGACAAGACTCAGAATGCAAGCAGACAGGTTTGAAAAGAATTTGGATGGAGGAAGAGTGCCGTAGAGCGTAAAGACACTGCCGTAATGGGAAAAGGTCAGAGGGAAGTAAGAGCGGCAAACGAGCTGTGTAGAAGAACGGATGCTATGGAAAATGTAGGAGACTTCAAAGTATTCAGTATCTGCTAAATCTGAGTCCTCAGGAAGTTCAGTTTAGTCCTGTCTTTTCATGAGCAAAGCTTTGATTCCGAGAAGGAATCATGTGACTGTGTGATCATGTGTTTCAGCCTTGCCTGGGTGTAACAGCATTTTGTTAACCTGCTCGTCACTGACACTGATTTGCTGCGGTCCAGGGCCAGCTGCGGTGCCTAGCACATGGTTGGCGTTGACTCTAGACACATGTCACATGATACAACTCAGTGAAGCTTACCATGTGGTTACCAGAACTCTGTGACACTAACCCATTGGTGCCACGACCTGGTTGCAGCCGGTTCTTTCCTGGGCCCTGACTGATTTTGTGAACTGGAGTTGGGGTTTGGGTTGGGCAAGTCCTTTGCTGTCTGCTGCCACACTCCCTTGGCCAGTTGTCACTTGTTGATGTGTGCGTAGGTCTAGGTCCCTCTTTTCCCTTTTTCTTGTGATTCTGCTGGTTTCTTGGGTTTAGAAGCTACACTACTCTATTTGATTTAGAGTTGCTATGTCCTCTTAATGAGTTGAGGCTTTGTTATTAAGAAGTATGTTCTTTTTTGCCACGGTATGCACTCGTAATGCAGCCATACTGACTTCTGTTAGTGTTAGGGCAATCTCCCCCCTTTTTGCCTTTTTCATACACTATATTTTGATCATTTTCTTTCTCCTGTGCCAACTCTTCCCAGCTCCTCCAAACCTCCCTACCCTCCTAGCATCATGTACTTTCTCTCTCTAAGGAAAACACCTCCAAAACCAAAACAAACATATCCAAACCAAAAACTTACCAAAAACAAAATAAGCACACACACACACACACACACACACACACACACACACACACACACACACACACACACACACACACATATCAAACAGGCAGACAGACATGGAGTCTGTTCTGTGTTGACCAGCTAACTACTCCTGAGCCTGCCCTGAAGTGTGGTTAATATGCCCACTGGCACACCACTGGAGAGAATGGATTTTCCCTTTCCCAGCAGTTATCAATTGCAGATAGCTTCTCGGTTAGGCCTGGGACTTTGTGCCCATTTCTGCTCTGTGCGGGACTTTGGCTGATGTGAGATTATGTGGGTCCCACGCATGCTGTCGCCATCTCTGAGTTTGTACTCGTATCATCCCTGTTGTGTCCGGAAGATGCTGCGTCCTTGAAGTCACCCACCACCTCTGCCTGTTCAACTCTTTGTACCTCCCCTTCTATATAGATCCCACATAGTGCTGCATGCTCCAGAGTCTCACTACTTCACATTGTCCAGTTGTGGGTTTCTGTTCATGACCACCGATTGCAAGAAGCAGCAGCTTCTCCGCTAAGTGTTGAGTGTTGCACACGGGCTGGGCGCTGCACCTGGGCACCCAAGTGGAGCCCTAAGCTCCTCAGCTCTGCAGCTAGAGAGCCACGTGAGAGCAGCAGCAGCACCATCCCAGCATGGTGGAGAACCATCCCCCTGCTCTTACGGGGTGCAGGCCTTACTTCCCTGTTTGACCCTAGAAATTCCAGATCCCGTGGGAGACATGGTGACATGAGTTACTCGATATTCTTAAGGTTTTTAGCATCCATTGTCCATTTTTGGTGATTACACAGAAAGCCACTACGAGCATTCTTGTGTCACCATTGGTGTGGATGTGTGCCTTCTCTTCACAGCCTGAATGTAGATGCTTGTTCAATCTCAGTGTTGTGTCGCCAACCTCAAGGAAATGGCTAAACAAGGTGACACCCATCAGTTCTGAGTGAGATTCCAGTCTTCATACTCTTGGCTGTGTTTAATTTTGTTAGTCTTTCAAACTTTAGCCAATGAAGTAGATGTATTACATTGTTTTAATTTGCATTTATTTTACAGGGATACTAAACACTTTTCATATATTCATAGACCCACTTTTAATTTTTTGTTATTGAGTTGTAGAACTTTGAAAAAATGTCTTCTATGTCCTGGCCATGTGCCGTGTGTGTGTGTGTGTGTGTGTGTGTGTGTGTGTGTGTGTGTGTGTGTAGATATACATATGTAAATTGCAAATATTTTCACCAATCTGTGGCTTGTTTTTTGGGATTATAATGATATCCTTTAGTGAGCAGAAGTTTTTAATTTTTAGGAAAATTAACTTTTACATTCATGGTTAGTATTTGCTATAGATTGTCTAAGAAGTCTTTGCTGACCCAAAGGCTGCAAAGATCATCTCCTATTTTTTTTCAGGAAATTTAGATTTTTAACTTGTATTTTGATCTGTGATATAATCAAGTGTATTCCTTCTATGACATTATAGAAACCTAATTGCTTATGACAACCAACACCCGCCTCTGCTATTCTCCTGTCATGGGTCAGATGTCTGGGTGAGGCCCAGCTGGTTCCTCAACTTTGGACTCACTAGGCGTGAGCTTGATATTAGCAGGCCTGTGGGCTCCTTGAAGCTTTCCTGGATTCTGTCTTCCTCCATGCTCTCCCGAGCTGTTAGTGTGCTTTAATTATTTGTGGATATGGGATTGAAGGCCTCAGCTGCTTACTGGCTACTGGCAGAAGGCCACTGAAATTCTCACTACACAAGGAGACTCTAGCAAAGTGCTTCTTCCCTGGATACTGTGTACTGTCCAGTCTGTATGCCTTTGTTTTCTTTTTCATAGTATTACCTGGTACATCCAGTTTCATGCAGCAAAGAATGGCAAGGAGGGATGCCTTGCTCTCTCCTGATCTTGATGGGAAAGGTCCAAGTTTGAGTGTAGGTTTTTGTAGATGCTATTTATGAAATTAAGGAAAGTTCCCTTTATTCCTGTTTGCTGAGTTTTTTTTTTAAGTGAGTGGGTGTTAGATTTCAGAAAATGATTTTTTTCAATCACTGATGTTATCTTACAATTTTTCTTTTCACTTTTAAAGTCATTGGCATGATGGATTGTTGTTTTTCAAATGTTAAACTAGCTGCATAACTACAAAATTCCTACTTGGTTATAATGTACCATCCTTTTTGTACAATGTTATATTGGATTTACTAATGTTTGCTAAGGACTTTTGTATCCATGTTCATGACAGATATTGGTCTATATTCTCTTTCCTTGTGATGTCTCTGCCTCTGCTGGCCTTTGGCTTTGTGAATACTGGCCTCATAGAATGAATTACTATGCATTCTCTTTGTTGCTAGTCCAGCAAAGAAATTATAGAGAATTAAATAAGTTTTTTCCTTGGCTGTTTGGTAGAACTTTCTAGTGTCCATATGAATCTGATGCTTTATGTTTTAGATTATTAATTATTCAATTTTTAAAAATAGATATAAAGCCCAGTTACATTTCCTACTTCTTTCTGTGTGACTTTTAGCAAGGATTGTAGCCTATTGATCGTAAAGTTGTTTGTAGCATTTTTTCATTATTCTCTTAATATCTACAGGCTCTGTAGTGCTGCCGCCTCCTGATTTCTTATATTAATCACATATCCTCTTCTTTTGTGTTTATTTTTCTTGGATTGGCCATGGCTTGTCAGTTTTATTCATCACTTCAAATTGGCTCCACTGCTTTTCGTCATTGACTTTCTGCCTTTGAGTTTGTTGATTTCTGTTGTGGTTTTGTTTCTTTTTGCCTACTCTTTTTATTTCCTTTTTCAGGTTTCTAAGGTGGATTGACTAGGTCTTTATTCTTTTGTAATATTTGCATCCAGTACTATTAATTTCTCTTCGTGCATTTCTTTCATAGCATTCTATAACTTTTAATAAATTGCACTTTAATTTTCATGTAATTAAAGATATTTTAAGATTTCTTAGGAGTTTTTTCCTCCCGTAAAGTGTGTTATTTTTTCTGTGTTATATTTGTTATTGATTTCTAGTTTAATCCCATTGTGCTATATGAATAGGCATTGTATGATTTTTATTCTTTTAAGCTGGTTAAGGAATGTTTTATAGTTCTCAATGTTGTCTGTCTTGGTCAGTGTCCCATGTAAGAACGTGTGTTATTCTGTGGTTACATCAAGCAGTCTATAAATGTCAGTTATTTCCAGTTGATTAATGGTATCATTGAGTTCAACCAAATCCATATTGATGTTCTGAGAGTGTCATGTGGCAGAGTCCAGCTATAACGGCAGTTCATCTGTTTTCTCAGTGGCACCATCCATTTTGTTGTTTCATATAGTTTGGGGCTCGATGAGGCACATGCACATTTAAAGTTACTTGTTTTTAGAAAATCAACTCAGTACCTTTATCACCTCTGATAGCTCTCCTTGCTTTGAAATTTGCTGTGTCTGAAGTGCGTACAGCTGCCCCTGCTTTGCTGTGGTTGGTGCTAGCTTCACATATATTTCACAGTCCGTTTACTCTTTACATGTATGTGCGTGTATTTTAAATGTGGTTTCCTGTAGATAGTGTGCATTTAACTTTTTGCTGTGACTTGTTATTTGTT